TAAGTGATAGACGGGAAGGAATACATCAGTGGTTTGTTGATGCTATAAGTTCAAGAGTCTATTTTCTGAAGTATGAGAAGTAAACTTTACGCATTCAGTCACGAGAAATTATGTTATACTGTGATAAGGACTGAATCAAGTAATTTAACAGATGTGTGTTTACTATCTGCTCATACAAAGTATGTTGTGAGTCAGGTTAACTTTCAAGAGTAACTGTTCTTCACACAAATCCAAAACACTTAGGGATTCAACAAGCCAGATCCTGTGGCTTCACCATTTCAGTGTAATGTCTACTCCTTAACCTTAGAGAGGCCTTGAAAAAGACAGAATTTTTTAGGGGCCTTTCCTATCTCACATTCACTTATGCTTACATTTCTTTGGCCAGAACAGTCACATGGTTTCACACTAACTGCCAAGAGGCTAGAAAGTACAGTTGTCCATATTCCAAGGAAGCAAAAGAAAGTCTATTTTTGAGGGCATCAGTGAACAAGTGTATTTTTGTTAATTTTCACGTGTATTAAAAATATTTAAGTAAGACATGGAGACACTGAACCTGTGAGGGTATCTTACTATTTTATGTAAATTTAATTTAAATTTTTACTGGAGATACTATATCATTTTGAACGTTTCAGACCTATAGACAATATTTGAGTTATTGGCCTAAAGGAATCACTATAAAAGGTAAATTTTATTGTATACATTTTTAGATAAGCTGTGAACACAAAGTGAAGAACCAGAATGTGCTTTTTTAGAACACTTACCCCACTTAGCATTAGAGGGTATACTACCATATTGGCCTTTATTCTGTACCTCTTTCTCTGTTCAAAATTAGAAAACCAGTAAGAGAAACTTCATTAGGAGACCTTGGAGGAGTAATGTCTTCCCTTTCTACCCATTACCAGGCTGAGCTTGTTCTCATGCTTTTGTGTGAGACCAGCAACAAAGGACGGAAATTTTGGAATAAGACACTTGACCTGACAAGCAATATTTTCAGTTTTGCTATTTTCCTTTTCACCTGGCTATGGAAATTTTCTGGTATTTTTCTAAGCTTCCAAATCAAGAACTATAAAAAAAGTATTTCCAGATAGAGTTGCCAGTACTAGACCTCATTCACTTTTGGTACCTAGGTACCTATCTCATTTCTGTGATCCCAAGAATATCAAGAAATATCTTCTGTCAAGGGTGGGTTTGACATGTTGATTTCCTTTTTAGACTTGTCTTGGTTTATATGTAATTATTTGGAGTAGATAATTAAGACATTGAACTTAAAGAAAATGGGAATAAATAAAATATTTTTTAACACATGAACAAAGAAAGTTTATGAAGTATCAATTCTCTTCAACTTTTTTATTATTATTATTTCAAATGGAAGCTATGGCCACATAGTCCTTAGGGAGTTTGCATTTTTAAGCTAAAGGCAGCACTTCTCTGGTCGTTCAAATCTGTCAGCTAGGGAAAATGATGGGAAATCATTTTCCATCTTTCATGTGGTTATTAATGGAGTCCTTTCACACCCTCAAAAATTTCCCATTTGATGAATTTTATGTTGATTGACTTCCTGAGAATTCCTCTTATTTAGGTTTTTGAGGTAAATGACTGATTTGATCCTTGAAAATCTTCCTTCTAATGCTACTGGCTAAAGCCGCATTGAGGTAATTCTGCTGAGAATAGTTTTGGAAATTATAGTTCTGTCAGTAGTCATTTTGTTTAGTCATTGATATTTGTTATCTTTTACAGGGAGCTCTGGTGGCCTAACGGCAAGAAGCTGCACTGCGCTTGGCTCAAGGCTACCAGCTGCTCTGTGTGAGAAGACTGGACAATCTCCTCCCAAGTGATGAACTGCCTCTGAAAACCCACCAGAGGGTCAGCTAGGGGTCAGTTCTGATTCACTGGTACACAACAACAACACAGGACAGTGTGGAACTGCCTCATGGAGTTTCTAAGACCAAAAATCTTTTATTAAAGTTGACTGTTCTCATCTTTCTCCTGAGGGGCAATTGGTGGGTTCTAATTCAATTATCCACTTTATAATTGCCAAGGTCGTAACCACAGTGCCACTAAACCTCCTCAGAAAGACATATAGAAGTGCTTAAAAGGTCTAAGCAATAATAGGTGAGATCTGGTGGCCTAGTGGCAAGCAGCTGCAACTTTAATCTCAGAGGTGTGCGGTTTCAAATCCACCAGATGCTCTGCAGGAGAAGGAGGGACAATCTCCTCCTGTACCTGTCAGATCTGATTTGGCAGGACACACACAAAAATAATAAAAATCATTTAAAAAAATAAAAAATAAAAGGTCTAAGCAATAACAATAATGGCTGAAGAACAAACAATAACAATGATGCCTGGAGCACATTTGAGGAATCCAAAGAACAAATTCTGGCTTATATTTCTCAAAAGGCGACATACTGGTGGCCTAATGGACAGGGATTTGTGCTGCCAACCCAAAGGAAAGCTGCTTGAAGCTACCAGCTGCTCTGAGCGAGAAAGATAGACAATCTCCCAGATGCACAATCTACAGTCTCTGAAACCTGATGTTGGGATCAACTTAGTCATCTGCTGCTATGGGGCAATGACAGAGAATGTAGTTGAAATTCATGACATTTATTGTCTATTCAAATTTAACAGTATGTTCCTGTGTCTTAAAGAGTCTTAATTTCATAACTTGTTATCAAGTTGGTTCTAACTCATAGATTCAAATCCACAATACTATTAGGACAGACATTGGACAGTCTTGGTAGAATTTAATTTATAAGAAAGAGTAGGTGTATATTTAGAATAAAAATAACAAATGCCATATATATTTTTCCTAAAATTCTATTCTTTGCTAACAGATATTAAAACTATTATTTGTTTTCTAATTATTTCAATTCTAGAAGAAAATAAAAGAGAATTCAAAGCACAGTATACCATATTCAGAGCAACCTTTAGGTCTGTAGCTCATCATATTGGATTTTAAAATATGCAAACGCCTACAAGGACCACCCTAGATTAAGAGTCTCTGAATACTTCATATTGCTTTACTGTTAAATAATGTTTAGAATTTGTTATCTTTTGTAGACCCTGGAAATCTAATTATTTATAATACCCAATGACATTTACATTTGTGGAATATATTTTCCTTATTCAAGAGCATATCATGCTTAGGAAAATGGGTAGGAATTCATGACTGTGTATGAATTTCTGACTGCAAATTCACTTATATAAAATCCACAATACTGGAGCAAGGGTGTGTGTGTGTGTGTGTGTGTCTTTGTGTATTTAATGACATTATTTAAAAATATATAATTCTGAAAACATATCCTTAGTCATCACCATTATAACACAGAATCCAGAAAATACTATTATATTTGAGATCATTTGTTTACTACTGAACTCTCAATTCTTACGTTATCAAGTATCTATTCAAGTTTAGTGGTATCTTAGGATAATACTATTCATTTCCATGCCAACAGCTGCAGACTGTTTGGTTTACATTTTGAGATTGATTGAAAGTAGATTGATAAAGTTGACCTATTGTGTTAGGCTTATTTACACAAACACAATGTCTTGGAAAATAAACTGAAAGTGCATAGCAGTTGAGTCTGAAGGTATTTTTCTAATACCTGCTCCACCAGTATCTGCAGGCTTGAGGACATCAACTTTACCATAGTTAACCTTAACCAGGGGGAAACTAGTTTCAAAAATTTAATTATTCTTAAGCCTTGAGGGGCAACTGCCAACCTGCTTTAGGAAAAAAGGGACTTGCTGTTAATTTGCCTGAATAAAATAACCTGTTACATCTAACATATCTATGAAACAATCACAGATGACTATTTTTTTGTTTGTTTTAGACTCTTACAACACGCTTTCCATACAAGAGTTGAAAATCATATGTCTAGAATATAATCAATTAATCAATATTAGACCTGAACATGATAAACTATGGAGTCACTGGGGGTTTGGCTAGGGGAAAGATATGGAGAGCGTGATGAACTAATAATATTTTTAACTGAATTTTGACTTATTCAAGAATTCATTTTGAGTGAGGGTTTAAAAATATTTTTTGGCAGCCCACTCGTGTCTCTTGCATGCTCTTAAATAATCAGCCTATTGTACGTGACTTCCCTGCTGACCCCCCCCCCCCCCCCGTTATCGTCATCAGGCAAACTTCACCCCTGCCTCCGAGTAGGGAGTAGGGAGAGGCTCCTTGTAACTGGAGGATCTGAGCAAGGCACGTGGACTAGAAAATACTTCCTAGAAACAGCAAGTAAGCTGCTCAACCCTGCCTGAACTTTCCCGGTAAACACAAGGAACGCGCTGACAGAAAGGCATCCCTGCTGGGTGGATCCTGCAACTTCTAGAGGGAATGACACTTCTTGTTCTTAATTAGGAAGGTGAAAGGTGAATTAAAACTAGCTGTTTGGCAAGTCAGTGCAAGAGGCTGACTTCTGAGAGCGCCAGAAGAGGAGAGCGCCTTTGGAAAAGGCAGTGTGTGCGTGTGTGTGTTCTCGGGTTTGTTTTTTTCTCTTTTCTGAATGAACTGCTTGCAGAAGTGACTTAAAAAAAAATACTGCTTCTTTCTGAATCCACCCCAGATTTCTTGCTGACAAGAGAGATCTAGACAGGACCTGGCTCTGAAGACTCACTCCTTGGAATGTCCTCTTGCTCCGGGCTTCTAAACAACTGTCCCAAAGGAAAGAGAGGGTTTATATATCTAAAGGCAGCCTGACAAATGGCACTTAGGGACTGTGCTTTCTGATGACAACACACTGGATTTCTGACAAAGCCTCTCTCGCACGCTGCCCCCCGGAGGGACCAAACCCACTGTGGTCAAGTGGATTCCGACTTCCTGGAGACCCCATAGGACAGAGGAGAAGTGCCCTAGAGCGCTCCCAAGGCTTTAAAGCTTTCTGAAGCTGACGGTCAGTCACATCGTTCTGCTGGAGAGTGGTTGCTGTGTGCTCACCTCTGAGTTCTCAGCCGGCAGCTTCAGCCACCGTGCCACCAGGGCTCCTCCCTGGAGGGAAGTCCTAAGTAAAACTCAAACCCGCTTTGAAGTGCGGATCCCAGGGCTTGCACTGGTGAGCACAGGCAGCATGACATCTGCAGGGCTTGTTGTCACCTTGCTCCTATGGGGATACTTACTGGCGCTCTGGATAGGAGCTCATACAGCTGATACCACCCAACCCCGGTTACGCCTGTCACATAAAGGTAGGTCATCTTTTCAAATCCTTTTGTTTGGAAAAAAAGAAGGAAAGTCACTTAACATAGAGTGATGGTCTTCAAAGACACTTAAAATGCACCTGAAATTTTTCATTGCAAAATTGATCAAAGGTTCTAAGTATCCTTAAACAGTGATACACTTACTGCCTCTGAAATTGGACAAAAATCACATGCCAAATTAGATGTTATTTCCGTCTTGTAAATATTAGCTTTTATTAATGAGAAGTTCACTCACTAGAGGAACAGAGAAGAGGAAGGCAGGAAGATGGTGTAAATAGACCTGAGAGACTAAACCCAAGGTAGCAGTAGATGTTTAAATATCCATTTTATGCATTATGGGAAATAGGGATACTTCAGTAATGGGGTGAAATTTGACTAATTCCCTCCCCCCCATACTAGGGATGAGAGGAGAAAAAGGAAAATTATTGAGAGTGAAAAATTAATTTCTTACTTATTATAATAAAATCATCATCATGCAATTAAAATGATTAACAACTACTATAAATTAGCTTTCTACTTGAATAGATTACTAAAATTTTCTGTGTGGTAAAAATGTATAGCTTATTAATAATCCCTGCAAACTGACTTGGAAAGATCAAAGTATGCGATATGATTACTGACCATCATAGATTCTTTCTGATTCTAGTTTGTATTGTTTTAATATTAATCAGTCTTAAATTTTTTTTCTGCCCCTGTGTTTGGTAAAACAGTGCCATACCTATAAATGATCCAAAGATAGGTTTTTCATCAGAACCAATTAAAAGCCAGTCATGAAAAGGGTAAGATTCTTCCTGTAATATAAAACCACACTTTGAGAAAGTGATTTTACTGACATAAAAGAAAATTGGAATAAATTATCAGGAAGTAAGTATTTATTAGCACCAACCATTGAGACAGATAACAGATGCAATAGTGAAGCTTACATAAGGACTATTTTTTTAATTATACAAGCTTTTCACTTGCACCCCCCTCTACTGTAGAAAAAAAGAAGCATGCCCTTTTTTTTTTTTTTCACATAAGGCTATACTATTACCAGAAGAGAAAACCAAAAAGAAGGTCTCAATTTTGTATGACAATATTGATCTTTACATTGTGTGGTTTATTTTAAATGTGGTTTGGCTATAAAAATTCCTTTTATGGAATAGGGAAAAAACCTAAATCTATGTGTTTAGTTTAAATGGTAAATTTCTTATAATATTTTTGAATGGATAACATACACTGAAGAAACATAATGATATTAGGTTGGAAATGCTTAAAAACTAGTACCCAACATTATCACAAATCTTTTGGCATGGAAAATGTGTCATGGGATGTATTATAATAAGTAGCTAGGAACTTTGGATAAATTTGTCAATACGTGAAGAAGCGATTTAACAGAATAGGATCAAATGAGAATGGCAGAATGGATTGTTTTCTTATGTAAACAAACGAATATGCTTTTAGTTTTGTCAAGCTATCATTCTACTATGCTGAGTATTAACGTTTCACACTTTGTTATTGGATATTTTTCTGATAATTTATTTGGATAAAGAATTTGTTATTGGATATGTTTTCAAATAATTTACTATTAGTATGTTTTCCAAGGTATCACATTTTAACACTGTGTAGAGAGTTCACTGGTTATAGCATACCAAAACTCCTTGACACAAATGAATGTTATGTCTAATATTGTTATCAGGTTTTCCATTACTGGGTCTTACTCAAAGAAATCTTTAAAACCAGTTTGATGAGACATTTCATATGGTATAGGAGTAGACCTGTTAGTATCTCTGTGCACACAGGACTGGAAGCTTCATAAGATTTCCTTTGAGCTTTTCTTACTCTACTGATTTAATGCCATCAGCTGAAAATGTGCAGGGCTATGCTTTTATTCAAAGACAGTACAGAGATTCTTGAAAAATAGGGTAGTCACATCTCAAGTACATATTAGTTACTAAAGAGATTACAGCTAAGAGATTAGACTGGAGATGCCACCTGAAGTTACAAATGTTTACTGTGCACATGCTTCAGTTAAAGAAAAAAGTTGTCTCTTGTGATAAAAGGAACATTCAGTGCCATGAATCCAATATGAATAGCCGTTTCACTCTCTTCTACTTTCTGTATATAACTTATATTTAAGAAATAAAAATGGTTAGTGATAGACTATTTCAGAATATTATCTTTTACTATCTTAAATGTCAATAGTGATACATTTTTATCATGAGTGAATATAGGTAATTAATATTAAAGATGGGTGTTTAATACTTCAAATTTAGAGGAACTGGGTATACTTAGGGGTCCTGGAGAGTCCAGTGCATTACTTACTGGGCAGCTAACAGAAAGTGCATTAGTTCAAATCTACCGGATGCTCTGCAGAAGCTTCTCTGTATAAAGATTTACAGTTTCAGGAAACCCAATGGAGGGTGTTTATGAGTTAGAACCAACTTCAAGGCAGTGAGTTTGCATATACCAAATGCCTAGGATCTGACATCCAATGGAGAAACCCTTTAATGTCTCTGCAGGTGGCCAATTAGATCAAACTAACAATTCTTTTTGTAGAAGTAGTCTTTACCATATGGAAGAAGGTTACACATTTCTCTTATATTTTCCTCATTCAATATGGAATTTGAGACTTCAAACCTGAAGCCATTTTCTGAGAAGGAGAGTCTTTCAGTGTCATGTACAAAGTTACAATTAAATCATATAGAAAGACGTCTGAAACTTTGACCCTTTTCTCTCTTCTTAATTTTTTTTTTTGAGGTAACATAATCTGAAATAGCATTTGAAGAGAATGGAACATTAGAATTAAAGAAGAGAAAAAGCAAAGATGGAAAGAGAAAAGCTAGAAAGGGTGTCAGATATAGAGCATCTTCTCTTATTTCCTCTATCTCCTTCCACAAACGACAAACAAATCACCAAAAACCAAACACTTAAAACTCATTGTCTTCAAAATGGAATCAGCTCAGAGCTGATCGTCCAGCAGGTTTCTGATGTTGTTAGGTTTCGTTTAGTTGAATATGAACCATAACAACCCTATGAACAACATATCTATATAGCTATATCTACATGATAGTAGGTTGGAAATGCTTAAACTGTATTACTCACCATTACCACAAATCTTTCAGCATGGAAGATGCATCATGGGATGTATTATAATAAATAGGTAGGAAGCTATGATAAAATTTGTTAATATGTGAAGAATTAATTTGATGGAATATCAAATATTCCATCATATAAACACTAACCTATCTACCCTATCTCGGACACATTTGAACCTTTTCTTCTTCTTTGCCATCCCTCCACCTTTTCCCCTTCGAAACAATATCCTCTTCTACTAATATGCCCATAGTATGTTAGATGAAGCTTTATTATCTTTGCCTCCAAGAAGCACTCTGGTCGCACCCTTTCCAAAACCAATCTTTTTTCTTCAGACAGTCCTTGGGATATTTAGTACTCTTCTCTAACACCTTTGTCCAAAGGCATCAATTCTTCTTTTATCATCATTACTCATTGCTCAGCTCTCCAATATGAGCAAGTAATGAAAAGATGATGGCCTGAATCAGGCACACTTTAGTCCTCAAACTCAAATAATTTCTCTCAACAATTTGGAGAGGTCAATGACTGTAGACTTTCTTACTGCAATGTATCTCCCTATCTCATGAGTACTGATACAAAGTATATTGACTATGCATCCAAGTAAAATGAACTGGTTGACAGTTTCAATGTTTTCCCCATCTGTCATTATATTGCCTGTTGGTTAAGTGGTGAAGATTTTTGTTTTCTTGACATGGAGATGCAATCTCATTTGAAGATTACAGTATTTAATATTCTGCAGTAAGTACTTGAAGTCCTCCTCACTTTCTGCAAGTAAGGTTGTGTCATCTTTATAACGAAGGTTATTGACAAGCCTTCCTCCAATCCTGACGTCACATTCTTCTTCACTGAGTCCAGCTAGTTAAATAACTAGGTCACCATACAGATTAAAGAGGAATGGCAAAAGGATACAACCCTAACACACACTTTTTTTTTGAGGAGGCTGCAGATCATACAGAAGGAGATTGATTGCTTATCACTTTCTCAGAAAATCATTGCAGTTCAACTGTCGATGGACTATGCCGACAGTGGGATAATATTTAATTCTTCCATCTTCTTCCTGTATATTCCATACCACTCTAGCTACACAGTAGAAATGTCAATTTAGGAAAATCCTGCTGGATTTATCACTTTTTTTTTTTAGAAAATATATCTTTTGCTTAACTTTCTAGGTAAAAAAAATAAAACTTGAGTTAGGTAAACTTAAATGCAAAGGTTGTTGTTGTTGTTGTTATGTGCCGTCGAGTTGCTTGCGACTCATAGTGACCCTATGTACAACAACCCTAAACTCTGCTCTGTCCTGTGCCAATCGCACTGTCTCTGACACTCCCATCCCAATTATCCCAGTCACTGAATCAATCCACCTCATAGAGGGCCTTCCCATCCTGCGCTGTCCCTCCACACTCCCAAGCATGATGTCCTTCTCCAAGGACCGGTCTCTCCTCACAACATGTCCAAAGTATGTTAGATGGAGCCTCAGAATCCTTGCCTCCAAGGAGCCACCCGGTTTAACCCTTTCCAGGATGAATCTGTTTGTTTTCCTAGCAGTCCATGATATTCTCAATACTCTTCTCCAGCACCGCAGCTCAAAGGCATCAATTCTCCTTCTATCCTCCTTGGTCATTGTCCAACTCTCTGATGCATAACAAGTGATTGCGAAGACCATGGCCTGTATCAGATGTACCTTAGTCTCCAGAGAGACACCACTACTCTTCAGTACTTTGGAGAGGTCCCTAACAGCAGACTTTCCCATGGCAATGCACCTTTTCATTTCCTGGCTACTGGTGCCAAGACTGTTGACTGTGGAGCCAAGCAAACTGAAGCTGTGTACAATCTCAATCTCTTCACCATCCATCCTGATGCTACCAATTGGTCCAGTGGTGAGAATCTTTGTCTTCTTGACATTGAGCCTCAAT